CCACTCCCCCCTCCTTGCAGGCCACTCCCCTTTCATACTTGAGCCCCTTGGAGCCTGGACAGCAGCTGGAAGCTGACCCCAGTGCTCAAGGCTGCTTTGCATGGCCAGCAGCACAGCTAGCGGAGTCTTCATTGTTTCTCTGTCCTTGCTTGGTGCAAAAGGGCAATTTAAGTCTCTGGTAAAGAAGTCTGCTGATTTTTTGACTCTGCCCCCCTAACTCTGTGTGCTATGTGAGCAGAGCCCCTTCTGCAGGACCACATTCAGGCCCGAGACCCCCCCTTCTCTGGGCCACTGTGCGTGGGCCCCAGTGCCCTCACTCTGTCCTTCTCTAGGGACAGGCCAGTTCCTTCCTGGTTGTGCTGTGATTTTCTACCCGAAGTCTAGTACATCTGGAGGTCATCCTATAAACACCTGAAATGTTCTTCCCCTGCCCAGTTTTTAGCCAAGTGTGAAAATAATACATATTGCACCTATTTTAAAAAGTGTCGATTTTTTCTTTAGATGCCCCATTTCTGCCCAGAAATAGAAGAGATACCGTAGTTTTAGAATGTATTTTGAAGATACATGTTGATGCTGCTTTCTGCTTGGGATCCCAGTGGGAGGGCCCCTCAGGAAAGGATGGGGGCAGAGTGCGGAAGTGGGTGAGCCCTTCTCTCACAGGCCGGGCCACCTGCAGACTGCTTTGGAATAGGCTCTCCTGTGGCTGTCCTCTGGCTGTGCAGGTATAGTGCTAATTTTCTGGGGCTGCTAATGAAGTACAAGTGGGGGGCCTAGGACAGCAGGCTTTGTTCTCTCCCAGGTCTGGAGGCCAGGAGACTGAGGTCAAGGTGTCACAGGGCCATGCTTCCTCTGAAGGCTCCAGGAGGATCTCTCCTGCCTCTCCTGACTGCCAGAGCCTCAGGAGTTCTGGGCTCATGGCCGTGTCTCCCCAGTCTCTGCCTCCATCACCAAATGGCTGACTGAAATTCCCCCTCCCTTGTCTTATAAGGACACCTGTCACTGACTCAGGGCCCGCCCTGATCCAGGGCTAGCTTTTGCATAATGGCCATTTCTGCTAATGTCGCATTCCAGTTCAGTGTGGATGTGAATTTGGGGTCACCTAGGAGTGCGCAAATTTCTGGAAGCTGGCTTGTTCAAGAAGACACAGGAAGTAGCACGTCTAGAAAATAACCTTCATAGGTATCTTCTGGTTCTTGTTACTTTGGTGAGATATAGTCCTCATCTCTGTCTACTTTATTTGGCCTGTCCCTACCAACCTCCAGAATGACAAGTGGGCCTGGGCTTTCAGGGCCCCCAGTCTGATGCTGGCGTGTGAGCGAGTGCCCCAGCACTTTTCTGGCACCGTGAGATTGGAGCTCTCAGCCCCAGAAGCTCCTTCTTCTCAGGCTCAGTGCTGGGGAGGACAGGGAGGGCACAGCAGATGTGTACGTCAACAGGACAGTTATTGAGAGCTTCTGCTGTGCCCAGATGCAGTGGCCGGATCGTGTCCTGTGGAGCTTGGAGTGAGGCGGGAGGACGCAGTTCGTGCCCTGGGCCCTGGGCACGTGCAGGTAGGCAGGCTGCCCTAACTCCAGAAGCTGCAGTTCCTGCAACAGCCCATGAGGAACGAGGTTCCTAGAGGTGGAGCATGTGGTTCTCTGTGACAGCTGAACTCTAGACTCACACCAGGGACTCAGAGTGCACACACGTGTGCATACACACATGGACTTGCATGTGCACACACACACACATGCTGACCCCAGGCTCCTCAAAACTCCGTGGGTATCTGTGCATCTCACATCAGCAGTCAGAGGAAGAGCCACAGGCCAGGTGACTTCTGCCATCAAGAGCCCTGAAGTCGGAAGGAAAGCAAACCTGTGCCACCCTTGGCCTGCTAGGGCAGTCCTGCCAGCATCCGCTCATGCTGGAGATAGCCACTGCCCTTCATCTCCTGGCGGCTGGGCTGCACAGACTTCTGCAACTGACAGTACTCAAAGCAGGGCCAGGACTCCCGGTGAGTTCTCCAGAACTAGCCTCTCCTTTTCCAGCACCTAGGGATGCTTGAGACCCCAAGCACCAGCAAGGTATGTGGCACTGAAGACACTGGAGCGTTAGGGCATTATCTCTGGGCCATTGTCTCCCGTGAATACATAAATTGATGGAGACAACAGTTCTCTGCAGAATTAGACTGTTAAAAAAAAAAGGTACATCAGGATCATTTTATGCTACTTATTAACCTTGACTCCAGAGTTAACTTTTTCATCTTACACACATCCACTAGCAAAACTCCATTGCCAAATCAGGCTGGAACCTAAGCACAGACACCTACCTGTTTAACCACTGGACTCCAAGGCACAGGCCAACCCTAACTATGGAGGGTAACCTAAAAGGCCAGCCCTTTTCAAAAATCCCTATGAAACCAGGCAGTAATTCCAACACCAGTTACTCCTAATCCCAGGTGCTCTAACTCCACCCCCACTGCTCCCACCCCAGGTGCCCTGACTCTTCTCTCCACCTCTCCCCTCCCCTGGTGCCCTGACCACCCCCACAGCTCCCCT